CCAAGGATCAAGCCTGCAACCGAGGTAGGTGCCCTTGACCAGAATCAAACCTGGGACCCTTCAGTCCGTAGGCGATGCTCTACCCACTGAGACAACTGGCTAGGGCTAGTACCAATATTTAAGGAACTAGGCAGACCTCGGGGCTAATGGAGCAAATGGCCAAAAAAATGCATGACTCAAACATCTTGTGCTCAGAGAAATCTCCACTTCCAGGGTCTCAGTGCCTGAAGTCTCCCATTTGAATTATTTCTCTTAGATCTCAGGGACTTAGCACTGGATAAATCATAATCCTTGTTTCATGTGTGGCAGTATTGTATCTATATACTTAGTTGACCTAATGTAATAAGCATTCATGAGTGACATTCAACGTGAAAATAAGGACTTTGAGAGTAACTTGGCCACATCTACAACTGTGGTATTCCCCTACTCCACCCCTGGCTCCCCAACCCAAAGGAACAACCATCATAAATCTTGTATTCATTATTCCTTAGCTTTCCTTTTTAAATAGTTTTAGCTCATCATATGTATTCCTTAAAAGTATATTTTATTAATATTTTAATATCATAAAAAGAATATGATGCACAAATAACTTTGATATTTATACTTTTTAATTAATATTATATATTGTGAAGACTTGTCCATATTGTTTATTGTAGTTGTCATTTATTTAATTTGAATATGCCATAGTTAATTTATCAACTGCCCTATTAATAGGAATTTTGTGTGTTGATATGTATAGTAGTACTATAAACATTCTTATCTGCATTTTCTTTTTTTAAAATATATACATTTTTAATATATCTTATTGATTTTTTACAGAGAGGAAGGGAGAGGGATAGAGAGTTAGAAACATCGATGAAGGAGAAACATCAATCAGCTGCCTCCTACACACCCCCCACTGGGGATGTGCCCGCAACCAAGGTGATATGCCCTTGACTGGAATCGAACCTGGGACCCTTCAGTCCGCAGGCCGACGCTCTATCTGCTGAGCCAAACCTGTTAGGGCTAAACTATATTTTTATTGATTGCAGAGAGGAAGGGAGAGGGAGAGAGAGAAACATCAATGATTAGAGAGAATCATTGATCAGTTGCCTCCTGCAAGCCCCACACTGGGGATTGAGCCTGCAACCCGGGCATATGCCCTGACCAGGAATCAAACCATGACCTCCTGGTTCATAGGTCAACGCTCAGCCACTGAGCCACGTGGGCCAGGCTGCAATTTCTGGTATACATATGCGAAGGTTTTTCTTAAACATAATCATAGAAATAGACTTGCATATAGGGTCCATAAAGTTTAATTTTACAAGAGAATATCAAGCTGTTTTTCTAAGAGGTTTTATAAACTCCTGTTCCAGCCATGACTAACCTCACCAAAAACAACTATGAAAGTCGGTCAAAGAAATCACATTATCTTAAAATAATGGTAATTTTCTTTCTTTCTTTTCAATTCTTAAGCCTCTAATTTCTTTCTCTTTTCCTATTGTATTATCAATATTTAGCTTATATAGTGAATTATGCTTATAGATTTTCTAATGTTAAAATTATCCTTAGCTACCTGGGGAAAGCCCAGTGTGATATATGATCATTCTGATGCACTACCGGATTTGGTTTACTAAAGCTCTCTGTAGGATTTTCACATCTATAGCAATAAGTGGCATAGTATGTAATTATTTTTCTTACAGCTTTTTGCTAGTTTTGTTGTTAAGGTTGTGATCTTCATATTATCTGAAAATATTATGTTGAGACCTGCTTTATTTTCTTCCACTTGCCTGAATAATTATTTTTCATCCTTTTATTTTCATCTTGTGCATGTATGTTGCTTTAGTATTTGTCTAGAGAATAGCAAATATCTGGTTATTATTTTTTATTTGGTAAGTTAGCTCATTTTTATCTATAGTAGTTATTCACATATTAGGACTTTCTTCTACTCAGTTTATTATTTCAATTTATCATATTGTTTCTTTGTTTTTTATTCCTCTGTTTATTATTTTATTTTAATTTAATTTATTTTTATATATTTTTTAGTCCTCACCCAAGGATATTTTTCCATTGATTTTTAGAGGGAGGGGAAGAGAGAGGGAAAAACAGAGAAATGTCAATGTGAAAGAAACACATCATTGATTGGTTGCCTCCTGCAGGAGCCCCGACCAGGGCCCAGGCTGGGGAGGATCCTGCAACCGAGGTATGTGCTCTTGATCAGAATCAAACTTGGGACCCTTTGGTTTGAAGGCTGATGCTTTATCTACTGAGCCAAACCGGCTAGGGCTTCTGTTTATTATTTTAAAGTTGACTATGTCTTCTCACATGTAAGACAAAGACATTAATATTATCTGATGTCCCCTGGCCTTCCTCTGCTTCATCATAGACTTCTAATCTTGTTTTTTACGTATATTCTTTTGCTTTCTCTTTGCTTTGGTCTCAGTTATTTTTTAATAAAACAACAACTTTACAAAGATATTTTATCACTTTTACTTCACATATTTCTTCCATCATCTCTTAGATTTGTTTCTTATATATGAGTATGTTATTAAAACATTTTTTATATATGGATCTTTGCATGGCAAATATTCTGAAAGTCGGATCTCTTAAGAGTATTTTAATATATCTTTAACTTGAATGAAAGTTTAGCTGGATATGAAATTCTATACATTCAAAATTTTGAAAATACTTCTCTTTCTGCCTTACATTCTTGAATACTGCTGAAAAATTTGATATCAATATTACTCATATTCCTTTTTAAGTGATCTTCTTTCTTTCTCTATGCAAATTTTTAATGTCTTACCTTATTGTCGATATTCTTAAATTTCAACATACTATACATTTTTTTTTAAAATATATTTTATTGATTTTTTACAGAGAGGAAGGGAGAGAGATAGAGAGTTAGAAACATCGATGAGCGAGAAACATCGATCAGCTGCCTCCTGCACATCTCCTACTGGGGATGTGCCCGCAACCCAGGTACATGCCCTTGACCGGAATCGAACCTGGGACCTTTCAGTCCGCAGGCCGACGCTCTATCCACTGAGCCAAACCGGCTTCGGCAGATACTATACATTTAGGAGTATGATTTCTCTTATCTTTTCTTTTTTGCTGTCTATGATTCCTTTTGATTTGAAGCATTCTATCTTTCATTAATTCTGTAGTAATTACCTCCATTATTTCTTCAAATATTTCCTTCTCTCCTTTTCTATCTATCTTTATTTTTTTTCTCGGACTAATTTTGCCTTTTATACCTTAACTTTCATATATTTTTTTTATTTTTAAACTAACTTTCTGCTAAGAATTCCTCAATCTGATCCCCCAGTTCACTGTGCATTCCTCAGGCAAATTCTTTCCACTAATTACTATCTATTGTGTTTATTATCACAACTATTACAGTTTCATATTTAACATTTTTACTTGATTCCTTTTATGGTTTCTTGTTTTCATTTTATATTGCTAATATCATCCCTCTTTTTTAAGTATAAAAAATTAAATTAATTCTTTAAAATATATGTAAGTCTTTGATCTGTCAGTTCTAATACCTCTGGTTCCATGGAATTATAACTCAGTTTGTTGTTTTTCTTTGAAAATATTAGTGCTTCCATTTTTACCCATGAGTTTCCATTCCTCTGAGGTTATGGTTAGTCTGTACAGCAGTGCTGATGGTGTAAAGACTGAAGGCCAGATCTCGATCTGCATTGACACCAGCATGTTCAAATGAGGATAGAGGATGAAACTCTAGTGGAAGGTTCTAGGCATCAGGAAACCAGAGTTAATCACTCCTCACCACACCTAATTTGAATATGCCTAACAGCTCCTCAAATGTGTTCTTTACTTTAGGATGAATTAGTATCTATAAGAGGAGATTGTGATCCACCAACCCTGGGGGTTTAGAAGGAAAAAGTAGGCCAGTGACCACCTTAGACCAATCCATCTTTGTGTACTTTCCCCACCTCCAATCAGGTGCAGGGCTTCTACACTGCTTAGTTCTACACTTGAGATGTATTTTGTTCAAGAGATGTAAGCTCTGGCCCTGTCTGTTCTAAGGCAGTGGGGGTGGGAATGGAGGTGAGATAAAGACCCTAAGAAGCAACAGCTCCTTGTTTTATCCTGACACAGCAGCCTGGATACCCTCTGCCTTAAGTGGGCCGTTCCAGTCACACGTACATGCCAGAGAAAAACAGCTTCTGTCCCTCCAAGGGGGTCTCATAGCTTTCTCCGTAACTTAATATTTTTCCTCTGTAGTTCCTCTGAGTTGATCTCAGGGGAAGAAACCGGTATGTCAGGCTAGTTCAGCATCTTCTTAGGAACCCTACTTGATTTTTCCTTTTTACAGGTCACATACTGTCTTTCTGTCTTCCTTTAACACACAGGTATCTTTGGGGTGGTAGCACACAGTACTGGTTGAGTAGGTGGACTGGGTCAGTGCTTCCCCTGGGCTGGGAGAAGGGGCAGTATGTAGAGACAGTGGAAGCATACTGAGCAGGAGTCAGGCCTGGACTGTGTTCCCTTTCAGTCATTGATTGCTGTGTTGCCTTCCACAAGTCTTTTCACTTCCCTGGTCTCAGTGTCCTCTTCTAAAAAGTGAAGTTAATAATAACACTGACGTCACTGGGCTGACACAAGAATCAAGTGAGAAATTGGATGTGAAAGGGCTCTTTGTAAATTGTAACGTGAGGTGATTTTATTGATCATCTGGAGACAGGGAAAGAAGTCTTGGGCTAGGCAAAAACTCACTTTGCCAGCCTCAGAATTTTACTAAATGTTGGCCCTGCTAAAAAAGCCTGATGCAACTGAACATTCTCTTATTATAGAAAATGACGAATCTGTGTTTGATGCCAGAGTTGTCACATTCTTCCAAGAGTGCAGACTTTTATGGGCCCCTGGAAACTCTGCCGGGGACTATTTCTGAGGATGGGAACATTGTGCCTTGTTGGCAAAAGTAATTAAACCGAGGCCACTTGTGGTCATTGAAGAATCTGGGTCTGCCTTTGCAACAGTGGGGGCACAGTATCAGATCTTGTCCTCTGATGTTTGCTGATTTGGATACACCGCTCCTGTTAAACTTGGTGCCTTTAGCTTCCTTGTTTGATGAGGGTTTTTTTCCAGTCTAGTGAGGTGAGTGAGAAGTGAGAGAAGAGGATGGAGCAGGTCCAAATCAAAGACAAGTAGCAGAGGTAGACATAAATAAGAATAATGTGTTCTCTCTGGGAATTTATACAAGGACAAGGCTAATGAGACTTTGTTTTCAATTACTTAAAATGTAGTCTGTCATTGAAAAGATGATGTAATGGCTTTAAAACAAGCCAGAATCCTACACCATATTCAATTCTTTGGTGTTAGCTTTTCTTATTTTTTTTTTTTTAACTTACATTCTTATCTATTTCTTGTCTTCCTCATCATGCATGCATAATGCAAATTTCATTTTGTGGCCTGATTTTTTTTTTTTTTTACTTAACATTATATAATAAACATTTTCTTTTTAAAGTTTGTATTTTAATGACTAGATAATATAATTTTTGACAATGTTTTATAATTAATAAAACTATTCCTCTATTTTGAGACATTTGAATTGTCTTTGATATTTTTGGTTTATTTGTTTGATTGCTTTTTGCTAGTATATTGAGTGGCATTGTGTACATTTTGCATATTTTTATTTTTGTTTTTGTTATTGTTAAATTGTTACCTTTGTATAAATTCTAAAATTCCTATGAGTGGGATGACCGGGGAAATATGCCTGGGCAGCTTTATGACTCTTGCATACTATTGTGTATTTGTGTGTGTGTGTGTGTTATTTTAAAATGCCATTATCCCTTTTAACCACAACTCTTTCAAGCATTGACTATTTGCTAAAGTCTTTTTTTACTTTTATAAAAACCGTACTTCAAATTTGTTTTCATTTGTACTTCTCTGCTTAACAGCAAAGTTTAATGTTTTCATGTGTTTTTGTCTAGATCATGATATTAAAATTAAAATTAAGCTGCCATAAATTTTCAGAAATTTTTGAAACCCTCCCAAAATGTTCCCCCAAAGAAATTCAAATTTCCAAACTAATAATATATATATATTTTTGTGGCCCAAGCAAAGAGAAGTGTCAAGTTAATTTGTCTTTGGTTTATTGATTGAGTGCCTTTCTTGTGTAAGTCAAATCCTGTCAGGAAAGTTTTAAGGAATATTGAAAGTAAGACACGGACATTACCCGGCCCCCCTCCCAAAAGTTTACATTCCAGTGGAGCTATGACCATATGATTGACCATGATTAAAAAATTGCTAAATGTTGTAACAAAAGAACAGAACCAGAGCTACAGGGATTCTGAGAATAGAGATAATATTTCTAATTTGAGTGAAGGAATGTGAGGAGTCAGAAAAGGCTTCTGAGGAAATTCCAGTTGAGTTGAATGAATGGGATCTGAGGTAGGGTCTATTTCATGGCAGTGAGGGAAGTGAGTTGTAGGGATATTTTGCCTATTTTACATGAGAGATCCTTAGATTTGTAACCAAGTCTTCTAAGTTATAACCATTCTTCTCCAGGTGGCAAATGAAGTGAGTCAGGGATGATCAACTCATGGTCACCAAGTCACATGGAAGAGAAAGGTTTCCACGTACATATAATAATAATAATAAGTATAATAAATAATAATAAAGATTTCCACATAAGTATAATAATAATTAATAAATAATTAATATAAATAATAATTATTTATAATAATAAATAATTTTGTTTTATGAAGAAAACAAAAAGGGGCCAATCTCAATTGTCTCCACAATATTAAAATTATACTGTGCATTTTGAAAGGCCTAAAATTTACAATGAAGCTCAGTGCTTCCTAAACCCTTCCATGACATAGCACACAAAGAAACTAATAATATCTCTTTATTGTACTGCCATGCATCCCTTAATGACTAGGATACGTTCTGAGAAATTTTGTCATTGTGTGAATGCTTAGGGACGATGGTGAACAAAACAACATGAGATTAAATCAAGCACAAGAGAAATGATACAATCAAGAGATGCAGTAACATGAGATGTATGAGGCTGCTGCCAGTGTAACAGGCATACTGTTACATAGCAAAAAAAATTTGTAAGTAGAAAGAGTACACTATAAAATGTGATGAAAAGTATACCATGCTGAATACATAAACCAGTAACATGTTTATGATCATTGTCAACTATTATACACTGTACATAATTGTATGTGCTATATTTCTATATGACTGGCAACACAGTAGGTTTGTTTACACCAACATCACCACAGACACATGAGTAATGCATTGTACTATGATGTTAGGACAGCTACCAGGTGGTAGGAATTTTTAGCGCCTTTATAACCTATGGGACACCATTGTATATGTGGTTCGATGCTGACCAAAACATCATTATGTAGCACATTACTGTACTGGGGTAAAGAGACAATGCTGCTTATTATTAGAGGCAACTGGCCCAGAACTCTGGCTGTCCCAAGTCCAGAAGTCTGAAAGGTTCAATTTCTGGGCATTCTTGGAATCTATTGGGCAAACACCAGGTGAAAAGTTTTGCAGGCAAATAAAGATGATTAATAAGCATAGTTACTAGATTGATCCTGCATGATAAGTAATCAATGCATTGGGCATTGAGATTGGTAAAGAAAAAAGGAAGAAATAAAATTTATTATTTTTTTTTATTGATCCTACCTTGACCAGGCTTTCTACTATGAGATGGAGAAATTTTTATTATTGCACAGAAAGTAACATAATAGAACCCTGGAATTCTAGTTATAGTAGTCCAATTAGGAAAGCATCCAGAGTCAGGAAATTTACCTATGATATACATTATGTGACTGGCTGATGAGAATGATATTTTGCATTAATCCAGTGAGCTCATTCCAAGCAGGTAGAAAGGTAGCCAGTAGATATTTTAGGATTTTCATTCAATAAATACAGTAATGCAGTCTAAGTATTTGTTCATTTTTGAAATCCTGTCTTGTTCTAAAAATGGTTTCAACTAGTCGGGTACATTAGTCACACAAGGATTTAATAGTTTAAAGGCTGAAAGTTTAGAAAGCAATTTAAAAGAAGGTTTTGAATAATAGGAAAAAGTAGATTTACATGAATACTTTTTTAAAAAGTTACACAATTGAGTGCAGAACTCTTGTGGAAAAATTCCTGAAAACCTTTATTGCACCAGCATGCTTATTATTGTATTAAAAATTCTAGCAGCTGTGCTTTTCTTCTAAATTAAGAAAATTTAGAAAGCAATATCATGAGCTAATGCTACATCAAAGTGGCATGTTTCAGCACTTCAATGTCATGTGTTGCCAGAATCGAGTTTTCCAGGAGACCTGGCTCAGCCCACTCCTCTTGGAGGCAGATGTTGGAGTGGTCACTCCAGGCCAGAGAAGTCAGCATTTCTTGGTTCTCCTTCCAGATTGTGGTGAGGCCCTGGATGCCCTTTATCCCACCTCAGTTTCTCTGGTGAGGCCTTTTGCCATGTGAAGGGGTTGTGGTCAAATGGAAATATTTGAAAGGTTGCCACGTGGAAGAGGGATTTAGGCCCATTCTGCATGGTCCCAGAGGATAGAACTAGGATTAAAGAGATGGTAGCTGCTGCAGAGAGGTGGATTTGGATGCTAAGTAAAGTTGAACTGAAAGGAAAAGTAAGTCTCCTTACAACTACCTCTTCCTAGGACAACCACTTCATCTAAGCTATTTAATTTATTTATTCAATTTGCCAACTCATGACATAAATATTATTAAATTTTCAAACTAGGAGACTGAGATTCAGAGAGAGTAACTAACACCACTACTGACGATGCCTAAATTAGACGTGGATCATGGTGAGACTTAAACTTGATCAAGTGTATGAAATTAGTGTATGGAATTAACCACTGAGTTGCACTCTCTGAAAAAAAATGGAGTGTGAGGGGGGCAGGAATCTCAAAATCAAACATTATTTAAAATGTAACAAGTTACTATGGAATTTTTGAATGGTCAAGATAAGCCTAAAATGTAAAGGCAAAGATTTAAGACTGGATGTGGGCATACCAGCCTAGACAACACACCCACACCTATGACCTGTGTGGAAGGATACTCCTCCTGGGGAAAACCCAACCATTTGGCTGGAGACAGATCCCAAGGAAATAGCTGGTGAGCTGACCACCAGCACTGAGGTTGGTTTTAAATCAAGAAGCTATCATCTTTCCTTTGAAAATCTTCCTAATAAATAGAACTGTCCCAGACAGAACTGGCAGCTTTGGAAGATGGTGAGACCCTTGCTCTTGGGGCTGTTCAGACATAGCCTGGATGTGTATATGTGGAGATGGAGAAAGATCAAGATTTGAAGACCCTGAGGTCTCTTCCAATCTCTTCCAAGTTATCTGACCTAAAATATTAATGAAAGGAAGGAAAAGGAGACATGTTTGAAAAAATTAGAAGAGATCAAGTTCTATAACAGACTCAGGTTTCTATACATTTCTGTACATGCAGAGTCAGGACTAAGGCCATGGCCTGCTCAAAATGTCTGCAGATAACAAACAATGTTAGCCATGACACTCATGTTTTAAAGAAAGAATCCCTGGCAATAGGAGAAGGAATCTTCCTGCTCAACCTTTGTCAAGGAAGAGACCTTCCTTACACCACATTGTAGAAGAATGGACATTTATGACTTAAAACCAATAAGGTCCAGAGAAAGGACATAATTTTCCCAGTGTCAGTCCTCCAGCAAAGTCAGCCTCTGCAGAGGAACGCAGGTCTCCCAACTCCCAAGTTTAGGGAGGTTCTTTCCACTAAGCAGCACTGCCTTTTCATCTCTATTTTTTTAAAAAATTTTATTAAATTTATTGAGGTAACATTGGTTAATAAGTTTATATAGGTTTCCAGTGCACAGTTCTTTAACACATCACCTGTATATTGCATTGTGTGCTCACTACTCAAAGTCAAGTCTTCCTTCACCATGTATTTGACCCCCTTTATCCTATCCTATCTCTTCCCAACTCCCTTTACCTTTGGCAAACATCATACTATTGTCTGTCTATGAGTCTTTGTTGCTTTCTGTTTTATATCCCACACATGAGTGAAATCATATGTTTCTTGATTTTTTCCATCTGACTTATTTCACTTGAGAATATCATCTCCATTCTTGGTGAGGATCTTACTTTGCCCCAGGCTGTGAGCTCTGTGAGGGCAGGATTTATCTCTCACACCTCTCTCATTTATAACTGCCTCCCACACCCACACTCCCAATGGGAGGTTCTTCATCAATCTTTGGGATCCCTACTTTCCTAATTCTATTTTCATTATTCTCATTTACCAACCTAAGGTACTCAGCTTGCCTAAACATACAAGTTGGAAATAGAAATATAAATTGTCTGAGAGATCATCTAATTTTAACCCCGGCATTTCATAGACGAGAAAACAGGAACTCAGAAGTAAGTTGGTGTCTTAGACACTGATCAACATTGTGTAAAATGCCTATTAATGTGTGCTAGCCTATGAAAACCTGGCCACAAAGCATGGAGTATGGAGGGCCTGGTGGCTGAGCATGAGAAACAGGAGCTGAGACCGGATTCCTGGGTTCTGGTGATATATCATACTGATTCACAGGCAGATGTTGAATCATTTCTGGGCTTCGGTTTCTCTAGTGATACGAGGGGGTGAGTGTTTTGCACATTTCTTCTCTAGGGATTGGTGTGGTGATAGCAGGCCAGCACTTGGGGAACTTTGGAGAGCCCTTCCCCTACCCTCAGGAGCTGGAGGCACTGGGGCATGTTTGGTACAGCCCTGCAGAATGCTCTGCCTATGAGCTCAGAGAAACTGAGGGGTGAAGGTGGGGGAAACTCCATGCTCCCACTGTTTCTAAGTTTGATGTTGTAGTAATGAAAACAGATTTGGTCTGGCAGGTGCCATGTCTAAGTGACATTCCCTGAGTGAGTCACCTCCTTTGGGGAAACTCCCTTCGCCTGAACTTTCTCCTGGAGGGCAGGGACCTTGATTTGCTGTTCTGGATACAGTGCCCAGCTTCCCCCAGGCACTTAACCATGATGTTTGTGTTGTGTGTTTTCCTCCCACAGGGCCATTTTATAGTAAGGATAGACCATGGATGGCTGGTTCCATTTTCTCAGGTTATAAGAGTGTGTGGTCATCCACTCCTTTTGCAAAGGATTTGAGTCTATTCTGAAGGTTAGTGAGACAGCTGCAACTTCTCTGCTGCAACAAGGAGAATCCCAGACCATGAGGCAGTAGGAAGACTATTTAACCAGGAGTCAGGATGCCTAATCTGAGTCCTGGCTCTCTTCTGGGAGGTGAGTCATGGACATCTGTAGCACTTTAGGGTTTAAAAATTATGCACATACCTGATTTTATATAGGCTTTATGATAGCGTTCAGCACATGGCATTGTATCACCATTCAATACCATTTTGTGGAGAAAGACAAGTGAATCTCGAGAAGTTTAAGAGACTTCTGGGTCCCAGGCATAAAAGGCAGATCTGGACATTGATGTCTTGTCAACATCAGAGCTTCTTCCCATAAATGTTTGCTTTATAGCCCAGGGTCCAGGTTTTCTCTCTACAAACAAGGGTATTGAAAGATCTCTACCATCCTGTCAAATTCTGACATTCTGTGGTTCT